TCGCTGGTGTTTTAAAGACGGGCGCTCGCCTGGGCTCGTTCGCCAACAAACCTTGCACTTGAGGCGATGGAAAACAGATTTAAAATGTGACTGGATAGGCAATGTTTCTCGTACAAAGCCCCATTAGCGCCATAGTTATGATGACGCGATAGAAGTGATATAACACGCCGTGTGGAGAAATCAACCTGCAGGTTTATAAATGTTCTGTAAACGCATGATGCATGATCAGACTGGTCACAATAAACGCACGGAAAGAAACACGCTTGCTGCGAACGAAGTCATGGGCCTTCCGATAAGAGTCTCAGTCACGGCATTTCTTTTCTTTCACAACGCGCACCACCTGGCGTGGCGTGAATCGTGACCCAGCGCCGGGCCCGCGGCCTCCGCGGCCCCACGACTCAGAGTAGTTCGGCCACCTGCCGAGCGTGGCGCTAGTGTGCGCCGCCCAGCCCGCAAGGAGCGGCGGGGTACCACGTCCGACAGCACGACAGTGGCTGGGTATGCGGTGAGGGTGCGGGTGTCTCCCTGTGAGAAGTGGCGCGGCGGTGGTGCGAGGCGGTGAGAAGGCGAGCGCGAGGGCCGTGTCGCTGAGCCGCCGGTGCCTCGCAGCGTCTCGCAGCGCTTCGCATCGACGCTTCGCAGCTCGGCGCAACCCGACGACCGTTGTCGTGCGTTTGGACCGGCGACGAGCTTGCGGACGCGGCCGACTCAAAACAAACCCGGCGACGACCTCCCGACCGAGCAACCGCCAACCAGCTAACCAGCCAACCAGCCAACCGACCCGCCGCCATGAAGTACCTGAGCATCCTGCTGCAGCGTAACGATCTCAGCGTGCCGTGGGGCTTCGAGATCGCCGGAGGCTGTGACGCCGGCTTTCCGGTCACAGTCTGCAAGGTAGGGTCGACTGGAGGGGGAGGGGAACGGAGGGGGCTGACCCGGCGCTGTCGACAGGAAACGGGCCGCATGCCACCGCCCGGGGGGGGGGGAGGACGGAGGGGGGGGGAGGACGGAGGGGGGGGGGGGGCGTGACTATGTGCGCCGCTGGCTGAAGTGGTCAACGTTGCAGCACAACACGCGGCAATTATGGGTAATTCACCAAGGCGGATGCAGCGATGATTTGTCGCTGCGATTTCTCCCGCCTTTCTTTGCAAGGAAAGGCCTGAAGGTGCGTGGTTTATATCCATTTTGTAGTGATGTATGCCCACTGTACTGCCTTATTGCTTTCTCTACATGATAATGCAATGTGAGTCTGAACAGCAGGCGCGCGGAGACAGTGTCCGATGTAAGGTCGCTTTTAGCTCACTTCGGAATATCAAGCCTTGAAGGAGTAAGCAGGTGTTTCCACATTCGTACGGAATTTTAAATTAGAAAAGCCATCTAGAAGACCTTTTGGTGCAGTTCACGACTGTGCCTGTCTTGAAATATAAGCCCCTCTAGTTTCTGAGCTACGCGCCCGCGAAAGTGTAGTATTATAAAGTACAAAGTATTTCGGTGAGGGTATTTCAAAGTCATTTTGGCATCCATGACGTCACAATAACGTCACTGAAGTCCTGTCATACCATAAGCCATGCGGCGATGAAGGCTACGAAAAATATATTTGTCGAGGGTGTATACCTACAGTACGATACGATGTTATACCTGGCGTTCGTCAGCGAGATTTCCAGATATCACGGCCGTCAATTGGCTTGCAATCAGCGTAGTGCAAGGTACGATGACGTGATCGAACAATGGCGTATTGAGCAACTTGTTTACTTAGCAGAAAATTGTGCTGTCTAGGGCAGACTTTTCCACTAAAAAATAAACGAATAATTGTACGTGAGATTAGTTGATCATATGTCATGATTTTCATTGTCTTCAGATGTGGCGCATTCCCTTTAAGCTACTCGCTTGTATTTAATTCAGACGAATTTGGCTATATTTATAGACAAACGCTGACCTCTTCCTTTTTATTCTTCAGCGTTCAGTGTCCGCGTATGGAACCGAACGCTAGAGTATGGTGTGACCACTCGACATCCACCATTCACCACCTTCCCATCCCGCCCCGTCCCGTCTGCCTGACGTAAATAGAATAATAAAATATGTTTTATCGGCCCAACGCCGACTGGCGCTCTATCCTCAAGCCTGACAAGCCTACACTGGTCAGCGGGCGATCGAACAGGAAAAGGTTTAAAAACAACACCCCTTCACTTACATTGTGAAACTGTATCGCCAGCCATGAATCTCGTCAGAAGTCAATGGCCTTGTTAAAAGAACGGATTAACGCAAGTATTGCCGGCGTCAAACGTGGTAGTGTCTTTACAATCTTTTTCGCCTGGCTTTTCGCCGTGTGACCCCTATCGATGGCTCCTTCTTACCCCGATGGAAATTGTCTGTGCTGCTTGTACCTTGGTTGCTTCCCATTCACCGCTGAGCCTTCACGGTGCTCCTTTGCGTCGATTCTTCACTTATGTCTGCCTTCTTTCTTATCGCGCCTCCTCTCTTGGTTTTATCAGGTCCCTCCATTCAGAGAGGATCAGAGGGAACACAGTGGAGACATGGGGTTGTAGAGTGGTAAAGAACTAGGCCATTTGTTGTACCGTTGTTGGGTTTTTTTTTTGTTGCAATTTCTTACGGACATTTAGTTACCATGCGCTCCAGTCAAAACCTACCCCCGTGACATTCTAAGTTGTAACACCGGGTTCGCCACTAGCTTATTGTATTCCATGGGTTAGCTCGCAAATGTTTGCTCGACTTCGACTGTTTCTGTTTGGTCTTCAGTACCAGCGTCGCCTTTTTTACATGACGAAAATTCACTGAATTCATGAAAGCTGCCAACTAGCCGCGAACCAGCTGAATAAGGATGTACCAAGCGGCAACCTCAACATTACCGCAACCTTGATTTTCATTCCATTTTTCACTGAACTTGCCTTATTCTGTGAAAGGCATCCTTTCAGAAACGACTCAGGACAACACAGAGGTTGCTTGTCCACGGCGTGCGCAGATTTGCACCTCCACTGCGGAATCCGCGCGACAACATTGTCTTCGTCGCGGCAATTAATTCCGAGTTGGCCGACGATAGCAGCTGGCGACCCCCCCCCCCCCATCCGGCGGATGCATCGCATGGGGGGGAGATGTTTCGATATTTGGCAGCGGGAGGTTGCCCCCCCCCCCCCCAACGCGGTCAATTCTGGGACGCCGCGCGTGGAGCGCTGCTTGCGGAGCTACGCGTCTCCTGTCTCTGACATCGCGCCCGGATGCGCAGGAGTTCAGTCTCTGGCACCGACGTAGTGAAGTGAGTGCCGAGAACGCCTTTGGACGCATTCTGTCGCCACATGTGGGCTCCGGGGTGCTGTTTTTGGCATGGTCCGCGGACCCCAGGATGCTTTGGGAGTGCTTTGAGTATGAGTATTCCGAAGACATGGACTCGGGGTGACCGTCTTTCGCATACCAAAATCTCAGCATTTTGCATGCAACACAAAACATTTTGCATTTGCATACAAACATAAAAACACCATTATCGGACGGACCATCTTTTGCATAATGCCGAGCGTGGTCTCGTGCATACAAAAAGCATGTTCCACTTGCATGCTGGTGGATACAAAACAAAGCGGCCTATAAGAAACTCTGAGTTCAGTGTTTTATGCTGAGCATAGACCTTTGACATGTTGGTTAAGCGATGTGTAAGTGCAAACATTGGTTGCACGGATAGCACTTGACGTTTCAAACTAGGCTTATCATCACAAGTTGTTGAGCCAGTATCTGCTGGTGTACTGTACAGTACCTGCTACACCAGTACCTGCCGGTGCACTTGAGGTCAACAGGCTAGCACCAGAACCCTGCTCTCGTGGCGCTGGCCCATCTGCAGCTGAGTCCTCCCTTATTAACAAATGCCTGCAGGGAAACGTTATCTCTGGTGCTTTGGATGTGTATCAGAGAGGCATGAGGTACGTGACAGTCGGGGAATAAACAAAACTGACATTGCAGAGTTGATAGATGCTGATCACTCTGTGCCCAACACTGCACTTTCGAAGTCTCGTATTCACCAGTTACTGAACAGCAGTAAAATCCCATGTCCTCGACTCGACGCGGTCGAGACCGTACGTGATCCATGCATGGATCCCAACGATGCAGAACCACAGCTGCCGCGTCGCTTCCGTGCAATCTTGCACCGGCACGCCTCTGGGCCGCATCTGTCCCCGGCCGCCGCCCGTCCCCTCCACGTGAAAGACCCGCGGTGCAGCCGCACCCCTGCCCTCCCCCGGACGCCGCTTACCCAGTCCGGCACGGTGACGCCGCGTACCCCCAGTCCGGCCACGGTGACGCCGCGTACCCCCAGTCCGGCCGCGGTGATCCGCGTGTCCCAG